TTAGTTGAGTTCATTATACCAGTATATCACCTGACGAAGCTATCCAGGTAACACAAACCTCTCCGCGAGATCTCAGAGAGATCAACATCAAGATTATATGCTCCTATCGTGAGGTAGTAAAGATCGCTGTAACTGAGCGAATTTCTTCCTGAAGTCCCATGAAGAAATCTTTCAAACCTCACCTTTCAGTTATCGACTCCATTTCCACAACGAATTCCCAAAGTTATTACGAAATTATAGCTGGAACGTAACCTGAACAAGAAATTCTTGTTGCGAGTTTCTGAAGCTATCACATATGTAACGTAAACGAGATATTCTCACTGAGAGTTCGTACAGTCGACCTGAACGTAATCTGAATCAGAAATCCTTGTTGTCAGTTCTTCAAGTCATCCCGAGGGTATCACACACAAGAAATTTTTGGTGCGAGTTCTCAAAGATATCCCGAACGTCTATAATAAGTGATAGCAAAATATCAACATACGACATGACTCTAAAATCTCAAAAAATAATCCCACCATCATTACAGATACACACATCAGAATTCTGAATCTTGAACAATAGAATACAGGATGAAGAACCGTGAATAAAACGGTTTGAGGAGAATGATTTTATGAACAGTGCAGAAACATTTCAGTCATACCTAACTTTTCATTCCAGATTTGTTTCTGAAGATAAATAATCTGTTTTGTTACCTGACCTTGCATAGTTGATCAATCACCATCACATACCTATCTACCATGTTCTATGCTTCCATTTCATAAGCGCTAAAGCTCGTGAGCTGTTACGGAGTTCCCTGGCTGGAACAAAATGATCAATTCTACTTAGCTTGATTCTAAACAGCTGGAGCTAGTAACACTATGCGACAGCCGACTGCTGGTAGCCTATGAATACCACAAAAATCCTTGGTAACTCAAATAAAGACAAGGATATCTCGAAGAACTCGCAAAATGATACTCTTGGGAATGTCTCGAACAGTTCGCGATGCGAACTCTCAGAGACCTCGACAAGGGCATTTTTCGTGAATTTCTTGGTTTATACGAGTGAACCAAGTAGCGAGTGAATTTCCCGAATTTCTCACCGCAACTCTGTGTGGGAATATCTTGAATAACTCCTAGTTGCGAACACTCACAGACCTCGTCAGTAGTAATTGATGCGAATCTCCTGAAGTACTCGCCACAAGGCTATGTGTGCGAATATCTCGAATAATTCGGTTCTGCGAATACTTGGAGATCGCACCAGTGGCAATTGATGCGAATCTCTCAAAGTTCTCGGAACAACCTGACCTTCAAATTCAAAGGTCCCACTTTAACATCGTGAAATCTCTCGGACACGAATTGAATAACTGTAGTTGGAATGGAAAGAACCCTTTCGAGGTTCCTTCATTTTTAGCATTGAGGAATCCTGAGTGGAGGAAGGAAGGTCATAACCAACCAGAAGGTTAGCTTCAGTGATGAAGCCAACCAGAACTGGGAGTAGACCAATGAACCTAGTTGGTTGCATGAAGAGAAATAGTGGGGTTACACAGAGATAACCCTGTTATTTCTAAATTGTTTGAAATTGTTCTATCCTTCATTCGGTTGCCCCCTTACGAGCAACCCTCAGAAGTCTTCGAGAGTCTTGTGCGAGCAGGGAATGATGGGGGCCTTACCTTTTAACGTGTGAACCCAAACACTTACTTTGGCCATCAGAAAAATGTCTGCAGTCGATGGGAATCGAACCCACGACCGGCAAGCGAATGTGGATTAGAATATAGACACTCTGTCCGCACGGCTACCTGGCTTGTAGCTTATTTCACATGTCGTTGTGACAATATTGACTGATCTGAGTGATGTATTCCTCTCATTATTTATAGAGTAGGCAAATAACATAATATTCATTAAACCTGGCAATACCCTGTATCTTCATTAAATTACATTGGTCCCTAATGAAATATTAAATCAGATCCAATTGGAATGTATATTACCTATAAACCTCTTGTTCCCAATTTTTGATGATAAAAATTTCCTGATATAGGTATGGTAATTTAATTTGTTTTTGATGATAAAATATCAACCGGATACAGCCCGAATATGAACAAACAATTCTGAATTTGGTTAGCAACAACTAATTAATGTTATGAAACACAGTAAATAATTCGTATATAGCAACCTGCAATGTATACTTTATAAAAGACATTAAGTGAATTTTTCGACAAACAACGATAAGGAATGATATTGAATATCTGAACAAACATGAAGTCAATAAATTTTAGAAATTCTAAAGGATATTGAATCTTGTAGATTTTCATTTGGACATATCTGCCTTCCTGCATATTTTCCTACCGAAAATATATATAAATTATTAAAATTGGGAGGATATGATTTTTTAAATGTATGATAAATTGACATTCATCATACAGGACGTGGAAAGAAATTCTGAATTGAGAAAAACTTAATCACGAATCTGCGACATCTATTGAACACACACGATGAGAATTTGAGAACAAAATCTTCTGAATTGGGGAATTTGCATTCTCCTTTATATAAAAAAATATAACTTATATATGAAGGGGAATGCAAATCCTCTACTTCAGAAGATTTTGGTTTCAAATTCTCATCGTGTGTGTTCAATAGATGTAATTCAATATTCGTCGTGGCATTTAGACAGGAAAGTAGTTGTTTTCTGTTGAATAAACCGTGAAAGAATTGATATTTCCTCAATGTATTTCTTTATGTATATATTAATTTTTTTGTGTCCATAAATATATCTGAGAATGTTCCTTTTCAATATAATATGATTGATTGATTATACATGACACTTTTCGAGTCATACACATCTTCCTAATGAAATATATACTATATGTATGTGAGCTCCAAATAACCAGAAAAAAAATTTGTTAATTTTCAGATTCATTGATACCAGTTGATACTTAACATTTTTTCGGAATGTTACTTATATATACTGAGGAGAAATTATACCTCCTTAAGTTCAAAAATCTATACCCAGTATCTCACTATTTCGAATCAGCATTAGAATATTCAAAATGTCAACAAATATAAAGAGTGACCTTCACCAAATTGGGACCAGTATAAATGACCATCCATGAAATCAGTTTTTCAAAGACGAACATCATTTTGGACAGTGCCGTGCGTAAAGAATAAAATGAGAAGGAGTAATTTTTTGATATCATATTAGTCATTTTTTACTGGAAAACTAACCTCATAATATTGTTCTTCATGGTTTCAAACCCTCATATGGGGATTTTCATATTCCTATGAAGGCTTTCAGAGGAAGAAGCACATCTGAGAAGCATTTCTTTGAACGTTATAATTATTCACTCGGAAACGGTGTGTTCAACATAAGATAGTATTTCTTGTTTTTTCTTTCAAATCACGATTTTCTACATTCCGGAGCTATCGAATGTTCCAAAATTTGCATTCAATTTGAATTCGCTATTTTCCGAGGCTGAAAATAAAAAAGAATTAAGTCAATTCTGTTGAATTGGAGTGAGGTGATTTTCTGCATATGGAGATTCGAAAGCACGCGGAACAATTATATGAAGTTAGTTTTTTTGCAAAGAATTCCTAATATGAATTCATGGAAGTCGACCCCTTTTCATTTCAATAAAGAAGCACGGCACTGTTCTAACAGAATGTTCGTCTGAAAAACTGATCATATTGACGGCTTTCCATACCTATACCAATATGGTGAAGATCGTACGTCTAATAGCTGAGATATAGAGGGGGACGGTTGAAATGAGACACACTGTAGATTCGTCAATGTTGAATATATCCTCATAAAACTCGGTACATATCTATTTCAGAGGAAGCCAATTCCAGTGGTGCATGCTGGTTGTTGAAAAAATTGCTAATCAAATGGGTCACACTCTATATACAGCTTATCTTACTTGAAGCGATCCCCATCTACATCTCAGTTACCAGTCATGATATTTCAACCAAACTGAACTTTTTTGTATATCGCTACTTCAAAGTTGGGAACCAACTCGCCAGAAGTCGAAACTTGTGCGGGGTTAGGAAGAGCGGGACCTACAGCTTATAGTGGAATCCGAACCACTTCTAGGGCATCGAGGTGCTGCCAGGATTACAACCATAAATCACACATTTTAAAGGAAAATGCTCAGCCGACAGCCGGATTCGAACTGACAGTACCTCTGCATCGTGAACGGCTATCTAGCGAATTTCAGCTTATAGACAAACTCGACCACGGAGCCCATATAACTGGTACTGAAAAATTCACAATATGTTCAATAATTATTTTGGGCAGTGACATTCACAAAAGGAATAACCTCATGATATTATTCTTTATCATTTTTGCAGCCACATTATGTAAATTTCCACATATTTCTATACAGGGTTTTGAAAAACAGGCTCTAAGAAAGTGCACTTTTGCGAACGTAGATACTCGATAATGAATTGTGGACATTCAATAATCGTCGTCAAAAAATTCCATAGTTTGGTACCTTCTTCATTTGACTTCTATTGGTAGCGAAAAAATCATCCACCATGAATCAAGAATCGACATTTTTCAATTATATTAAAATAAACATTCTCCCCATTCAGTTCTGTTCTTGTTACGTCACCCTGTATATCATTATATCAAACGGAGAAGCAAGTTATATACAGTATGCCTTAGTGTGTTTGTGGAAAATATTTTACAGTATATACGGAAGAACATGAGTACAATATGAAGAAAAGACATATCGACAAATCAAATTTAGCCGAACATATCCTCACTGAAAATGCACAACAAATGCCGGAATAAAATGATGTCAAAATCGTAAAAAACAACATCGATATATTTCTGAAAGTCAGTTCAAGTTGAATCTCAGGAATTTTATCATCATAATTAAAAAACGATGGCGAATATAGCGTTTATCTCCATACTTCTTATACAGTAGGTATCAATAAAAGATAGGTTGGTAAAAATGCCAAGTGTTAATGGAGTTTGCAACAAATCATATTTTTCCCAGCATAACTTCGATAAGAAAAACATATAAAACCATGCCGATAAAACCAGAAGGTACACTCGTCCTCCGCAGTTTCATCATGAAGTGTGTTATTATATTCCTCTCCCTACTCGCCGTAGGCTATTCTTCATACCTGGTTCCCAGGTTGAACTTAAGAACCATAAACATCGTTGTTGGAGATGATGGCACTATCACTATCGAGACTACAGCCGGCACCAGGCTCTTCATCACGAGAAATCTAGAACACAGCGGCCCAAGGAACATCGAGGTATTCCTAGAAGACGCAACCACACCCATGAAAAAAATCTGGATAGACCGAGAAGCCACCATCCAGCTTATCGATTCCCACTTCTGGGGAGGCATGACTGAGGCTGACATTCTGGTTAGGATCTTCAAGAACTGGCAAGGGCCTCTTGATATCACCTCATACAACGCTTTGTTGGAGCGAGTAAGTGTCTGTGTCCAGAACGGACATATAAACGTGGTCCTTCTCAAAATATTGAGATGCCTCAATGTCGAGTATGTGAGCCTGGAACGATGTGTCTTGGACTCCACCTTGCTGAATACTGTGAGACCAAGATGGTCGTCGGTACTCAATCGTTTGGGGATGAGAATTCCAGTTCAACAACGTATGCTCAATGACATGAGTGGGGTCCAGATGCTCGATGATGATATGACTGTTGGCTCAGTTATTCGTGAACCTAGGTAAGTCACTATCGTCCCATACTTGAAACTTAACTTATCAGGGTCCAGAGGCCATTTCAGAGTTTCCGAATGATGTTTATGCTACGGGATTATCAACAGAGATCTCTTTTCAGGAATATTCTTGGGCAAGAGGAATATATGATGAGGAAATTCGATCCCTCTACGGTCACCATGGTTGAATCTGTACCAGATAGAATTCCTTTGATGGATATGATTCATTCGGTGCCAGAGGAAAGTATGATGTACCGCCAAAATCCTCTGATGCGTATGATGCAATATACACCGGAGGAAACTATGGTTGGCCGACAAGATTTGATGATGCCTTTGATTGAGTCTGTACCAGAAAACAACATGGTTTACCGCCAAGGACCCCTGATGAGGCGTATGGTGCGATCTGCACCAGATGATATCATGTTTGTGTAAAATGGTTCAATGTACGAGTGAACACAGTAATGTAGTAGCCAAAAACGATAACTACCTATAAACAGGCTCGAACAAAAGAATATTGATAATTTTCTGATGTTTCAGTATCAGTGAAGAATAAAAAATTGAAATTACGTTTTCGTTTGATTGAGCATTGCGTTTTGTAGTTTCGCAAAAGATACATAAATTTTAACATAGCAACTTCTTCCTAATATATCATTCTATTTGACCTTCTAGTTGAGAAAAAGCAGCTATAGCCTAGCCGTGAATATTTCATTCACGTTGATCGATGTTACTAGTGCTCAATTATTCTAGAGCTTCTTCAAGTTTGAACATGTTTCGATACATTTTCGAAAAAAAATGCCATATAATTTCCATGAAGACGAAAAATCAATTCAAATTCAAATCATGGAAACCATCCATATTTCTCAAAGTAGTCCAATTGATTTTCATGAGAAAAAACAATAAAAGTTTGAAAGTCTGTCGACCACGAAAAATTATTCAATATCGAATAACTAGTTTCGGCCACAGGCCATCATCAGACACAAAATTGATGTATTCAAAGTACCTGAAAGAAAATTATTAACATTGTTAAGGCGTCAAGAAGAGTCCTCTTTGACTCTTTTTGACACCTTAACAATGTTCATAATTATCTTTTAGGTACTTTGAATACATCAATTTTGTGTCTGATGATGGCCTGTGGCCGAAACTAGTTACACTATTGATATCAAATAATTTTTCGTTGTCGACAGACTTTGGGACTCTCATTGTTTTTTCTTATTAAAATTCAAATTCAGGGGATCTGACAAAAATTTCAACAACCTGATTGTTGATGAACATGAAATTGAATCCGCTTCAACTTGAGAAGGTAGGTGAGAGTTGTAAAGAGTGTTTCATGGGTAGAGATACATATTTGTGACATAAGTACCATTTGTTTCGAGAACAAATCAAAATTCGAAATTGTATTGGAGAACTACGCGACAAGAAATATTAGGATTTTTTTCTATCGTTTTGAAGAGCATCAGGAAATGTTTCACTGTATATGGAATTTCAACATTTCAAAGAACCATATATACCCTCAACAGCAATTTTTCGTTCGAATTTTTCTCGATCATATATAGGTGATATATTGCAAGTTAATTTCTGGACAACCTGTCTATGAAATGTGAATTCATACACAGTTGTAAAACTAGAGGTCTCAACATAATAAATTGGGAAAACTTTATTTTTTTCTATTTACTCAAATCTATGTAACTGTATTTTGTGATTTTTGTGAGTATTTTTTAATTGGCAACCCTGGTCCGCGCGGAGGGTGGTTGACAACAATTGTCAAATTAATTATTCACGAAATCCGAAAGATTTCACGTGTGAATAGGACCGTGATGTTGATATAAGTGTTTGAGATCGACAAAAAATTCAATATGCACCTCGACTATGACGGACAGTCTTTCGTCATTGGTACATAAATAACTATTTGCTACTCTATCATAATCAACTTTCTCTCACCATCTCTGAAATCGACCTACCTATATTATCCTTTGGAGGTTGGTTAGCAAAAATCTAAATAACCCAGTTCAATAAATATTGTGTTGAAAGAAAAATTAGGAAATTTTATGATTCGAGTTTATTGAGAGATAATCATGAATATCCAGAGTTAACATCCAAAATAATCATATTCCATTCAGTACTCGACAGGAACATTCAAGTAGTGATGTTGGTAATACGGATGATGTGGGGTGGAATGCACATGATGTCCATACTGATTCCAGGGTGCTTGATGGTTGATCACAGACTGGTAATGGGCAGGTTCAGTCAAATGTCCTTCAGAGGCATCCAAATGATGACCATAGTAGTGTTGAGGAACTAGGTGTCCCAAATGTCCTTCTTGTCCAAAGCTGGTCCTGGAAGAAAATTATCATTCAGGAATATTGACGGTGAAAACAACAAATCAATTGGAAATAGTGATTTGATTCACTAAGCAAAAAAGATCATCAAGATTCAATGCTGTGGCTAGCGTTTCAGTTCATTCTTGCCTGCCATGTGGAATATATACAGGGTGTAATTCAATTGACGGCTGGAAATGGAGGATATGGTTCCTAAGCTCATTTAGAGAAGAGAAGTAAATATGAACATATGACCTAGACCTCTCAACTTTCGTCCTATAGAGTGTTAAAATTTTAAGAAAAAAATCGGTTTCTTATCTTCAATACCGTTCTAGATATTTTCATGAAATTTGACATGCGCCTACAAATCACTAATAGTCATTTTTTGATGCAGAAGATTCTCTAATATCTCTACCAGTGGCGTACGGAAGAGATGTATCCTGAAGGATTTAAAAAAAAACATTATACGCCCTTAATTTTCTCGAGAAAAAAATGCATTCATGAAATCTTCTGTTTTTTTGTGACAATTTGACTCTACAATTTTTTTTCTGTTCGACGAATCGTTTTCGCGTACAGAAATAAAACCATTGTTCATGCATTCGTGGCATAACGAAATTATTTTAACTAGTAGGCTAATGCCCTCTTTTTTATTTGAAATAATGACATTTGATAGATTAAGTTGCCGTCTCATTTTGACAAGTATCCATGAACTTGACAGTTTTCTACGTTGTGGAAGTTTCGTGAATCAATAAAGAGAAAATATAATGTCAACACCCTATAGTTCAAAAAGTATTTAAGAGGTATACGGAATATGTTCATATGAACTTGTCTTCTTGAAATGAGCTAAGGAACCATATCCCATATTTCCAGCCATCAATTAAATTACACCCTGTATATTTTCTCCAGATTTGTTTCAATTTCACGCGAAGTCCAAATAATCCATCATCATGTGCTCACCCAGTCATTTTTGATTTTGATTACCAATTTGATTCAAATTATTACTTGAAACGTTGCGTAGCAACAAACTTCTCCTGCCTAGGCAATAAGAGTACACCTTTCATGCCTCTCAAATGTCATCAAAAATTCACTATTGAATTATATTAATGTGATTTGGAGGAAATAGTTATTTGTTTTACTAGACAGCAGAGTTGAAGATTGAGCTAGAAATTCACCCAAGGCAGTCAATCTACTCCGCTGGGCATGTGAAACACGTAAGTTCCTCTCTAAATGTTTCAGAACCAATTTTGTATATTTTTTTCATGGAAGACTCCATCATTTTGTGTTCACACAATGTCAGTGTCAATTTTGATTGCTAATTCCGATCAAATTACTTGAAACGTTGCTTAGCAACAAACCTTTCCTGCCTATCCAAAGAAAGTACACATTCGCTGCTTGTTGAGCATGTCATATTAAGCTTCTTGAAGAAATCCACTAAGCATATTTGGAAGCTATGTTGATGCAAGGTTGTATCAATTACTTAAACGCACGTTCAGCAATATTGCAAATGTAAATTTGTAAATGTAACGTTCCAGCAATAACACAGCAACAGGCAATATTGCTGCAACGCTACATTATCAAACTTCTCCTTTGCAACATTGCTGAACGTCCATCTCAGTAATTGCTTCAACATTGCATCAACATAGCTTTCAACTTTGCTTAGTGGAAAGAGAGTCGAAAGTGATATTGAAAGTGAAGAGAACATACCTCCATTCGCCATTGAGATGGTACATAGGCTGATGATGTTCGAAAGTGTTCAACCACTTGTGATTCAGGTTCCAGAAGTGTCTCGGTGAGGTACCATCTACTGAGTGAGAATCCCAGTGAATGCACCTATCGAAGCTGACATCGTGAACGCTGAGGCATCTCAATACATGGTAAATGGCTGAGTCCAAATATCCTGCTTGGTAATAGACGTGAACTTGTCTCAACAAGTCGTTGTATTTGTGTTCATCAACATCTCCTTGATAGTGACTGAAGATTTTTACCAGGATATCGGCTTCAGACAAATCGTTCCAGTAGTGGGAATCGACTGAGCTGATTTTGTGGTGCAGCGGGAGTTTCGTTAACGTGCCGTATGTGTCTTCCCAGAAGATTTCCACGTTTCTTGGACCGGAATGTCCCAAGACTCTGGAGAAGATGAGCCTGCTTCCGGAGTGACCAGTTATGCTGATGGAGTGTTCATCTTCGAGGACGATGTGATAGGTTCCCTTGTAGGAGAGCGGTACCGAGTACCCCAGGGCGAACAAAGATAGAAGGATAAGAGCACACTTCATGTTGAGACACTTCTAGTTGAATGTGCTTTTTGTTTTTTTTTCGGAATCTTTTATACTGTTTTTGGGAGATGAATTATTGTTTTTTATCAGGAATCGTTATGACATTTTTTGTTTTTGGTTCGCTTATCTTGTCAGATTATTTTAATTACATTAATTTGTGTTCTTTCAATCACGTATGAACTATTGCATAAAAATAATTCTTCATAGATCATTTGGGATTTTCTGTCCACCTTTATGAAATGAGAAATATTAATATTATTTCAATATACGTGTAATGAGGACACATCATATGATTTGTCCCAAAATGTCACTGCGTTTGAAGGATTTTCTTATCAGAGAGCCTTGGAGACGTTGGCAATCAAATGAGTTACCATTTTTATTTTCGGATTTCAATAATGAATACCATGTTCTATCTATATCAACTGAACAGGAAGGAATGCTACCGTCTTCGTTCAGAAGAATGCAAGATTCCTTGATTTTTCTCTTGTGGTTGTCATCTTCTTTTCCAATGATTTTGATATTATTCCACTCTGCCATATGTTGTCCATCTTCAGAAAGGATATGTAAAGCTAGTATTGATTTGTCGTTATATCTTCCTTCATATTGTACTTAGGTTCCTTCGTCCTTACTGAAAGAGGTCTCTCGGTTTCACCTGTATAAAACTTTCCACAAACACAAGGTATACTGTATATACAATTTTTCTGACTATTGTTCTTCATTCTTCGGTATCGTTCGAATGTTTCCACTAATAATGATTCACTTTCAATAGATTTGCTGATGATGAAGGATTATTCCTTCGAAACATGTCGTTATGTCCATGACAGTTGGTAATTATTAAATTTTGTATGTGGTGGAGTTGTGACTGTAAGTTTTTTCACCCCTCCTGATTTTTATTACGTGTTGAGGGATGTTGACGAATCAATTTGGCGCCGGGATCAACTTCTTTTGGATGATTGGGTTTGAGTGATTGTTGAGCAAGTTGTATCGTACTATATCATAAGTAATATCATGATGTTCTGAATATTCGAAATTATTCTGTTGCTTTATTCTACACGGAATTGTGTTTCCGTATAGAAGACAGTATCATGAGGAGGTATTCAGAACAGTGTACAGAAGAGTGGTATTTTGCTAGACTATTTCACGAAGCATTAGAAGAATCCATTATGACGTTAGTAGGTAGAATGACATTAACATTTAACTTCAGATTACGTCAGATTCATTCTATGAGTTGATTAGTTCCTTGTACGAAAATATAATTCTACCAACTTCAGTTGAATGAATCTGTAAAAGAATCAGAGATTAAGCTACAATTGACACACTTTATATTATTTCATTCAACTAATAAAGTAGTTCAATCTCATTTCAATCAACCACGTGAGCAAATTCCATTGATTCTAATTACTACTTCGAGATTCTTGTGAGAAAATATATCTCTACCAACTTTAGTGAAAATTGATTTCTGAGAAACAGAGAAAATGAGCTACTCTCCACTAATTATTTATTATTTTGTGTAATTTAAGTGAGTCAATTGTGGTTTATTCAACCTAACAATATTATGGATATGAATTATATCAATACTACATAGGGTTCCTTGTATAATAAAATATATTTCCACCAATGGAATAGAGTTATTCAAGAATAATAGTTTGAACTACCACCAGCTGCCTTATCAATTTTGCGTAACCAGTAGGTATTTTGTACATTAGTCACTGCAATCTTATCCTAGTATTTTTTAAATGTCGATGTAAAGTTTTTTCACCGAATACTACTATAGCTTCAAAACCGGAAATTCTTTCTCGAACATGAATATTTAGAAAATTTCACTTCATTAATCTATCCGTAGTTATTCCAAAACCTTTTTTTTTCAACGAAACACCGCATCGCATAATGAAATTAATTAGGCTTGGTTAGCAACAAGTAATCGGTGTATTGATAAAATTTTATTCAACACCAGAGTAAACAATTGCAATATTTCGATTAACGGCATAATGTGAATCTCACTTAATAGAGATAAGAGCTTTGCTTATCTTACTAAAAAATATTCCATTTGCAAGACGAATTGTCCATGGAATACCTGCATAATACGAATATAGACAATATTCAACCTACTACTACACTATTACAAATTGATATAGGTTGACAGGTAGGAATTTCTTTTTTTTATACCATGGATTTGAAGATCTGATTGACCTATTAAATCATAAGAACTCGTGAACATTTTTTACTTTACCGCATTATTGCTAATGTGTGAGAATATGCATTGGTAGAGTAGATGAAAATTATAATAGTATATCTTGAAATTATTTTTCAAAAACGAAAAACAAAAATTCAAAAATATTTTTCTCTTTCATAAACTGCCCACATTTGATTATCCTAAAGAACAAAAATACTATTATGTTCTCGATCAATATGTTTGAGTTCATCAAGCGTTCGGAAAAACTCACTGTTTTTTTTTTGTAAGGAATGAAATTCATTCATTTTGCAAATGCAGAACTTCGAATCATTGAAAAATTCCATAATGTGCCTACTACTCATTGTATGTATATACCTTGAAAAAAATTATGAGTGCAATTTCAATTTTGGGGCCACATGATTGATATACAGGGCGTCGAACTTCAAAATGTGAAACAATTCCCCTTCAATTATTCGAGTACCTATTATCAAATTATAACTATCAAAATCGGGTGATTTTACTCACTCAGTCCTCTATTTTCCGAAACCAGTGACTTCACATGATTTTGATAAAAAAATTCGTTCCAGAGATCAATAAAAACACGGCTCACGGACCATTATACAGGGTGTTTAAGAATTCGATGTGAATATTTCATGGACTAGAATAAAAATGATAATTTTTCTTCGTATGTGTTCTAAAATGCAAAAGTTAGGTAAAAAACTAGATTATCTGAAAATGTGACTAAAATAACAGATCAAACCTCTTCTGCAAATTGATTCCTCTATTTTTTTATTCCCTTCTTGCTTTAAACATTTAGTGTACCCAGTTTTGGAGGAGTTGAAGAGGGGTCCACACTTTCGTTGGGGTACATTTTAGGACACATGCATTTATATCAAGAAAATGTATTATTTATTTGATCCCAACAATAATACGTTCTCAAAATATTAACATCGAATTTCGAATCATCCTGTACAGATTGACGTCTTTTTCACGGAGTTGATGTGATATAATATTTCCTCAATTTGGTACTGTATTCTAAAATGAGCAGAATAGCTACCCATTTCCATTGGTCATAATTAATATAATCAGCTGATGTGATAACCGCTAAAAAACAAACACTGTCTCCAAAACATTTCTCAATCTCCAGTCACAACTGATTCAGATACGAGAACTATATAAAAAGTTGCCGAAAAATAATGACGGCACATTTGTCTCGAAGTGTCTCAACATGAAGTACTTCCTCATCCTGCTATCTCTGGTTGCCCTGGGGTACTCTGTACCACTCACCCACAAGGACTTCCACATATTCGTAGAGAAAGATGGCTCCATCATCATCACTGGTCACTCTGGTAACAGGTTCGTCATCACCAAAGTCTTGGGATATCCCGGCCCAAAGAACTTGAAAATCCTCCTGGAAGACGAATACAGTTCAGCGAGGGAAATCCTGCTCGACCAAGACTCACTCGGTTCTGAGTACTGGCACGGTTCATCTGAGGCCGATATCCTGGCTGGAATCTTCAGACACTACCAAGGAGTTGTGGATGTGAACTGATACGATGACTTGTTGAGACAGGTTCACTCCAGTTGCCAGTTACCATGTCAACATGGCAGTGTACAACCTCTTGAGGTGTGTCATGCTTGAGGAATACAGCTGGAGTAAATGCGTCTTGGTGCATGATGTATCTTCAAAATGGTACGCTTCTGAACCGTTTGGGATTGAAAGAACACCATCAAAAGTCAACCTACCCTGATTCACTTCCATCGAGAGGGTTATCTCAGAAAAACTTTGAGGTTTTTGTATATGGTTCAGACTATTTCCATGAACCTAGGTGAGCTAGTTCAGATCATGACTTATTTCACAAGCCTATGTATGATGTATATCATGTTATTTCGGAAGAATGTTATGTTTGCAAGGTTTCAAAATCTGACTTCATTCTAGATACACTGTTAGACAGTATGGATACTGGGGACAAATTATTTCCGAACAGTACTATGTTTATGATTCAGATACTTTCAATGGACAATTGGTTGAGTCATATCAGTATCAACACTATCGACAAGGACTATGGAAAAAACCTATGTACCAAAGGGCTCAGCAAATACATTCTATCCCACAGGAGCTCAACTACTACCGTTACTATCTGAATGCTCCAGTGGTATACTGAAGAGACCTGATATTTTGGTCTTGAATATCTGTTACTTTCTATCAATGAAATTGAACCATTCATATATTTTTTGTTATACTTCAATGACTTTTTTCTGACTTCCTTATTGAAATCACTGTGCATGAAATCATGGACCAAATGAATACTGAAAGTCAAACGTTGGTTGAAGTCAATTGTAGCTCGAAGTATCCAACGAGATGACTTTCTGCTTTTCTCATTGAATATGATACTGAAAGTTGTTTGAGATACAGGGTGTTGTAGTATCAACTTCGAGCATTTTATCCAGAGATTTGCCACTTGGAATTGGATTTGATTCCCCATATTTTTTACGCCACTGATAAACTTTTCATTATTTAAAATTTTCCAAATTACATTGAATTCTGTTGAATGAACTCATAACTGCTCTAGGTTGAACGGTTCATATATTTGACACAAAAATAAAAGTTTGCATATACATGTTTCTTCATTCCCTCTAGGTAAATTACGAGAAGCAGAAATAACCTTACCTTATCAGAATAAAAGTAGGAAGTACCTAATCAAATTATCATCCAGAAAATCATGTTAGTTGAGTTTACAAAGATTCCTGTGGAATAGGTATAGGGTCTACCTATTCATTTTCTTCTGAAAATTATCTATTTTCCAATCAACGTCTTTCTACACTCATATTTATGATAATCAAGGGAACATAAAAAATCCGAATAACTTCAATATTTACATGGTAAATAGCTATTTCGATTTTTTGATAGGTCAGTGGGCAATAAATAATCTCATATGGGATAAACAATTTTCATGAATTAGAGCAACAGGTTATCTAATGAAAAAAATCGATATTTTGCATAGTACCGATAAGTATCCAGTATAAAATAGCTCAAGGTGGAAATAAACATAAACATTCATCTATAGAGTCTTGTGAAGATGAAGTGTATCATTTTGTTTTCCTTGGTGGCACTATGCTACTCTCTGCCTATGACCATCAGAAAAGGCAAGCATATAAATTTAGATGAAGATGGCACTATCACCATCATTGGATCACAAGATAAGACAGTAGTGATTTCCAGAGCAGAGGGATCCACGGGCCAAAGAAATGTAGAAATCTTCATGGAGGATAAGACGGTACCAGTGAAAAAAATCTGGTTCAAAGAACAGAGCATGGAGGGAGATTCGGAAATCCAGAAAGCCATGACGGAGAAAGATATCCTGGTCGAAATCTTCAAGAAATATCAGGGTGATATCAACGATGACACCTACGAAGACATCCTAGAACAAATACGCCACTTCGTAAAAACAGATCAGGTAGATGTGAATGTCTTAAACATCTTGAAATCGATTGATTCTGATGAGGATCATGAAGACTATTCTACTGAAATGGAAGGATCAATGGATACCAAGTCACTACAGAAATTGCTGAAACTCCTCAAGGGTTTAGGCATGGACCAAGAAACCATCGACATCGACAGACTTGTCAGGAAAGATCCCACTTTCATCAAAAGGCTAGTCAAACAAGAACCATTGTTCGGTATCAACAAGAAAGATCTGATATATCTCAACAGTCTCATAAGATCTCAACAAGAACCATCAAGGCATCATCAGATGATTTGGTTGCCTAAAATTAAACAAAGTCCTGTATTGCTGACAAGACAAGGTATGCCTCTTGACTTCGATACGATGGAGATGGATCAAGAAGATCAGGACTCACTTGAGCAACTTCAGTATCCACGTTTGACAAAGGAAGATCTTATGGATATGAAGATCATCCTCTTGATGCAAGACCCAAGGTACCAACACCTGTTTGTGAAGCCCAATGTCATGATGGGGCATGATGAAATAAACCCAGATATTGACACTTTGCATACAATGAAATATGGCATGGATATGGATGATCTTCGTCAAACCCTAATGTGAGTACGGATTATCGCAAGAAGTATAGTATAACCTCCATTTCTATGTTTCTATGTTTCAGGATGCCTGGAGATAAAGAATCCATGGTGATGGATGATGTGGATACACGAAAGTTGACGCATTTGGTGGACCAAATGGACAAAGATGAGATGGTCCAACTCCTTAGGGAACAGATGATGAACCAATCAAGGCAAAAGCAAAACATGTTCACCACTCGTGACAGTTCAATGATGGATCCAATGATGAAAAAAATGATGATTGAAAGGATGAAGAAACAAATGATGATGAATCCAGTGATGAAACGAGTGATTATGGACAGGATAACGAAGCGAATGATGATGGATCGAATGATGAAGGACCGTATGATGCCCATGATGGAATAATTCTTTGAAGTTATTATGCATTTTGTTATCTCATTTGACACATTCAATAAATGATTTCAACACACTGATATATTTTAATGCAACTAATAGTTATAAAGGATCTTTCAAGTTTCAGTCAAAAACTCCTATAGACTCATCATAGTACTCATCAAAATATATAGAGAAAGTGGATCAAATATGAGTATGATTTTTTTTATTTCAGTGAAAATATTCTCATTCTTATGGTGTTTTAATGCCAGTAGATTCACCTTGTTAGGTCCAGTGGCGTATCTGGGAAAAAGTCAGGTGATATTTTCATGGAAAATTCAAACACAACGATGCTGCTACTTCAAAAAGTATTTGTTCATCTCTAGTTCAGTAATAAAATATACACTGGTCATGGAAACCATTCATTGCCAAACTGGTCCAGTATTTTTATGCTTTATGTCTTGAAAAATTATCGTATCGTACAAATGTTATTTTTATCTCATCGATGTGAAAAGTTGATTGGTTTTGATTTTCTCACACATGTTTCTTTCATTGTTTTCCTCCCGGAGAACGTCAATTCGATGGGTATTAAACGATTATTGTTTTCTTATTTCTTTCTATTTTCTGAGACAAAACGCAGGTGAAGAATTATTGATTGACGCCTTGCTTTTGTCCTGAGATAGGTGTATAAAATGGTATAAACCTATTCCATCCTCTCATTTCAACCAATTTTTTGTGAGGGAGTCATATAGTTAATAATTAATTGATTTTGATTCATGAGGTCTCTTCAAAAATGTTTCCTCGTATTGCCTCCCTCCTGCAGCAATGTTGAAAACCGCTAATTGGAGATTTTTTATGTTCTAGTGAATCGTGGAGTATCTAGAGAGCAATGAATTAGTGGTCCTTGGTGTTACCATTGTGTTTTCGCTCGAAAAGATAGCTGTCCAATTCCAGTCCAAAAAGTTTCTGGTGTTTGATTTCAAAGATTTCGATTTCAATGCACGGCAATATACGGCACCAATTCTGGAATTTTTGTAATTTACCATTCACCGGCCAGAGTGAATAAACTGAGTTGATTATGAACAAATTTATTGATTGGTATCTCTGAGTACTCACACTTGGTATACATAAGGAAAAATCAGATAATTTGCCCGAAAATGTCATTGCGTTCAAAAACCCCACTAAAAGAAAACCTAAGAAAAAAACTCAATCGATAGTAAGTAACACCATATCTCGAAAAATGTTCGTCGATTATGACAAATATACAGGGTGTTTCATTAATATTGCACTTCAAGGACTGCACTTCGAGTCAAAATATGTAAAAAACTGATACAAATATATATCCGATGCATTTCTGAGATACAGGGTGCTCAGGTTCCTCAAAGATATCAAATTGATTGATTTCTTAGATGTGCCAGAGCCGATATTGTGATAAAATTCACAATATCTGTGGAAATCACAATGAGGTATTTTTCGGACCTAATACAATTGATAAAGTATCATCAGGGGCGTACACACGGGGCAAGTCCAATGCATTTTTGCACCAAAAATAACACCTATCAGATTCTCCTCTAATTTTTGCAATTTTTCTCATTGTTGTAACTCAAAATACATGTGTTTTGGCTCTTTCGTTTTCTCGTATCTGGCTGCGTTCGAGGAGTAACAAACAAAAACCAAACCTATGCATGTGAACCCGACAAGAGAAAAACTGTAATTGTCAAAATCTAGTTGCCCGTTCACCAAATCGATCATGTGACCATGGCGGAAAAAGAACTTACGTACCTACCAATGTCAGTTCATAAATTGATGAAAAATAGATTTTTTTCAGAAACTTGACCATCCTGTATCTGGGAAACGAATCGTTTTCGGGCATAGCTTTATATGAACTTCTTGTTTTATTTTTACAAAAGAAATACGACCCCGAAGTTGTGTGCAATATCAATAAAGCACCCTGTATACAATAAAAAATCATATTGCCCCTCAACTTTGGACATTTCTGTAACGAATCTGGACATATATCCTACATGAAAATAGAGAATCATTCTGTTCTTCTTCCAGACACTTCTGAACTGAGATTGAAATGAAATAAACATATCTTCATTTGTAGAAACGAAGAAACTGTTTCCCACAAAAACCTAGAGAAATGATATCACTAATTTGGAAACCTCTAAAACGCACAAAGTTAGGACACACGTTCATATGAACGGAGTTGTTTTTTCCAAAATGTTCATGATATTCAGGAACATTCTGTATGCTATGGAGTTTATATTTGGTATAATTCAAACCACTACGATGTATTTTCTTTGTTCCCCAATAGTGGATCATAAGTATTCAGATTATTTTACTCGAAGTGGCTTATTTGAGGGTTCCTAATATCAAGTTCAGAAATTGTCACCAGTATGTAGGTATACTTCTCATGAGATGATGGTATGTTCTCGATACCCTTCAAAAATATACGTATGATGGAATTCTCATGTAATAATGTGTTATGTTTTTTGTTTGTTGTAAATGCAATAATAACAAACACTGATATCGAACATTTTTCTGGCGAATATTTGCGTGCAAACAACCAGCCCTATTTATAACATTCGAAAAAATCGAATAATTACAGTATTTGCACAGTTAAATAGGTCAGTAAGCAACGAATAATATCGAATCGATGGAATAAACAATTTTTTCAACATTGAAATCAGGAATCGTTATAAAAATTCACGAACAACACCGATAAGGTAACCGTATAAAATACCCACAAGAAATCCAACGGCCACATCAGATCACTGAGTGTTGTCGAGATGAAGTGCGCAATAATTTTTTTGTCATTGGTAGCCCTAGGCTACGCAGTGCCTCTCACTTTTGGGAAATCTTCCGAAAGTAAGAAGCTCATCAAAGTGCATGGAGTGGACACCATATCCATCTATGGATCTCCAGGCAAGAAGGTCATCATTACCAGAATACAAGGCTTTCCAGGTCAGAGAAACGTCGAAATTTTCATGGAAGACAAGAGCGGACCGACCAAGAAAATCTGGTTCAACAACCAGGGCGATACGGACCTGAATGACTTTGAACCCCAGATTGAACAGACCGAAGCAGATATCCTGGTCACAATCTTCCGGAACCATCAAGGAACCATCGACCATGATACTTTTGTTCACATTTTGACCAAAATTCGCCACTTTGTCCAGACAGGACATATAGACGAGACTGTCCTCTACATCTTGAAAACTTTCGACTCTGACGAGGATCAAGACAGCGATGATACTGGTATTGATACGTCTCTCGAAGACGGATTGCAATTGAAGCTACATATGCTCCTTAGGCTTTTAGGACTGAGCCACAAGACCACTGATTTCGAAAAACTCGTGAGAGAAGATCCCGTTTTCATCAACAAACTCGTGAGACAATCCTTGTCGGATATCGATCAAGACGATCTGATTTATTTAAACGTTCTTCTACAGAAGCAACAAGCTTTGAACGAACGTAGACCTGTCACATGGCGACACAAACAGATCCCAATTTCTCTTAACGGACTTCTACAAAATCAGCGAGGAAGACAAAATGTTCCTGTTGGATCTGATAGTCTTGTCAAGCAGCAACCACAATTGTTGCAGATTGATCAAGGAAATCTCAATTTTGGTGATAGGCATCGTCAAGGTCACGGCTCATGGGAAGATCTTTTCGATAGCAAGATTGATCAACTCGAAAGGAAGCAGGATCTCTTCAGGAAACTCAATTTGAATAAATTCAACTATGGTGAGGACCTGCAAAACAACCAAGGGTAAGTGGAAGTTTGTATTGTTCACGATGAATCCTACTCCTGTTGAATAATCTCAACAGATGACCAGATTTGCCCCTATTTATTAAATAAGCATTGAAGTCAGGGTCAAATGTAATGTTATCCAATACTGAGTGATTTATCAAGAATATTTTGAATACTGTAGAATTCACAAGGTTGTATGGTGTTACTCATACATCGAAATTTGTTTCCACTACAGTTCGTTTCTATTTTTGTAGGATGATTGGAGGAAAACAACTCGTGGAAAAAGGAATAGCTCCTGAATTATTCGAGGATAAACAAGATGTGGAGAAGTGGTCGAATTTGCAAGATCAAACAGATGAGGACCAAGATTTGGTACGGACTATCCCGGATCAGTTGCAGCAAGGAAATATATGGCAGCAGCACTATTCCAAATATTTCACCTATCCACGTGACCGTACTCTCAATTATCAGCACAGAGATATTTTTGCGGACCCCATACGATACTAAACAAACATAGCTGTAACTCGTTGTTTTGAAATGAATAAATGAAATTTTCAGTAGTTTGAAAATATTGATTTCGTCTCTCGTTCATCCAGGCTTTCCTGTAGAGAAGGATAAACAGTCTTATAGAGTGAAGGACATCTACATGAGTGTAAATGAACTCCTTGATAGAGTTTCATGTCATCTATTCCATCACGACACCGAGAATTCAACCCTGATTTTTTTCAACGTATCAATCACGTTTAGAGGACTCACGTAAGTCCAATACAATCAATGATCATAATTGTTGCCGACTTCTTGCCTGGGAGAACACTGCCATGTGAGTGAATTCTTTGATATTTCGCCAAAGTCATTAGAAATGTTATTCAGGAATCGTAAGTAAAAACACGTAAATACAATCTTCATTTTCAAGAAATATCTGGATTTCTCTGTTTGGAATAGAAACATGGATAAAACCATGCATCATATTCACATCTGATTGATTCCGATATGAAACCCACTTGGTTAACGTAAGAAAATTCCAGATACGACTCAAACAAACCTCTATCGATTACGGATTTATCTGTTTTTCCTTTGAAGTAGAAAATTCGAGTGAATATATCGCAAGATTACCGAATGAGACAGAGAGATATATCTAACCAAATGTGAGGAGATATACAGGGTGGCCTATCGAAAAGATACCGCAAGGCAATACAGTCTGGAAAAGAAGTTTTTAACAAAATCCAAAAACACGTCAAGAACATAGAAAAACTGGTGACACCACCGATTATTTTTGAATGGGAACGAGGGTTGAGTTATAAATCATCAAAAAAGGGATTTCAATTCCCTATGTTTTG